CGGTAGCCAGGAGCTGGAAGTGAGGAGGCAGCTTCTGCTGGCTAAATCGGGTCCGGTCCATTAATTAGTTTTGGCCCACCAGTGTTCTCAGCTCACCAGTAGCCCCCCAGACTCCCATGTATCTCCCCAGTGGAAATGAGTTAGGGGTGTGCAACAGTAATGCAGGAGTGAGGAGGAGAGAAGGATGGATGGCTGCAGTGGGAGTCAAGGACCTGTGCCTGAACTGGGAAAGGTGAAGCTGTGGGTCCCATCTCCCCCAAGGGAGGAAGAGTTGCACTGAGTTAGTTTGAATGGAAGCACTAGGTGCCTACGTTTCTAGATGCAAGGCTGAGCAGGGCTATGGTGGATTTAGTGTTCCTGGCTTCTGCTCTGTCCCTGTGTCTTGCAAGCTCTTACGGTCCCTTTTGTTCAGGGAATTAACCTTGTGCATCGAGGGATTTTGAAGTTCCCACAGTCTTTTGCAAGATTTGAGGTCTCGGCGTTGCACACAAACGTGTTGTGCCATATTTGCTTCAGTTTCTCTATGAACGCACGTACAGGCTGAGTTCACATATTTGTGAGCCTGTATCGTGCATCTCCTCAGAGATGCACACCTACAACGGGCTGTGTAGGGATCTCCCTGCCAAGGTACATCTACCTTAAAAGGGCTGTGTGAAAACAACTTGTTACAACAGTATTTGCCAGGTAGACTGAAGGAAACCTAAGCACTGACTGGTTAACAGGTGAGCTTCTGCCCTGCAGCAGAATTGCATCACAGAGAAGATATTAATCTTAGCTAGTTAACTAGTGCACCTCTGCAGTTCATTTCTATGCCTGTCAAAATGTAGCATATTACAAGGTGTACAGTGACTGAGGCTCCCAAGCGTTGATAGGGGACTAAAGAATATATTTTTTGTCCATTAACATTAACTCCTCTTAGTTCCTCTTCATCAACTGCCTCTGAATATCTGTGGTAAGTGTCCTGAAATAAACTTTGATTTTGTAAGCTTGTAACTTTCTCAGTAGTCACATCCATCTGTTTTGTGTGTGTTCTCAGTTTTCTCCCACCTGAGTATACATAGAAGGGTGCCATTGCTACCGCCAGTTAGAGTTTGGCTTAACAAAGTTGCATTAGTTTAACTTGGAAATCAAAAAGACCATGGGTGGGATCTAGCCCACAATGCTGCTTTATCTGGCCCACTGGTCTAGGTAAGTCGGGGGTGTGGCTAAGGAGCATGGCCTGCTGCAGAGTTTGGAGTCCCTGGATCCTAGTAGAGATTTGTCCTTGCCAGCAGGAGGGTGAGAGAAGGATGTGCTGGCACATCCCTGCTTGCTTTACGGCCACCTTGGCCTGTTGCCACCTCCGTGGCAGGCAGCCACTTGGCCCATAACAGCCATTTGCCCTACTGCCACTGGCATGCTGCCACCCTAGTGCTGGGCTCCAGGCTGCATCCGCTACCCTGGCCTGGATCTGGCTTCACGGTCCAGATCCAGCCTAGGACACTGTTACACACAGCTGGCTCCAAACTGTACTTTAGAGATGGCACAAAACCTATTCTCTGTTAAATGGCATAGAGAATCATAGATTTTACTTTGGAGTTTGGATGCTTCCAGGGTTAGGCAAGAGCTGAGCAGTTTTCGAAATTGAAGTTTTGAACTTGCATACCTAAGACCTTTAGGGGATCTAGCCTCCATTTAGTGTTTTAGTCTGTTTGTAGACTTGGACAGGTAATGACTCTTTCAATTGCGCTAAGATGACTAAATTGTTAATTCATGGTAAATGATGTCAGCTGTTACACTCATGATCATTTCAGTGGATGGAGTGACATGTGAATGAAGGATTTGGTAACTGAAAGCTGTTTCAGTGGAAGAAATGTTACTAGAAAAGATACTGGGTTCTTTCCTCTCCTTACCTAAGATACCAGGCTAGATGTCAAATTTGTCTTACTGAATGACAGCAGATAGCTATCAGCAGTCCCTGAAAAGCAGCATGCAGTGCAGCTAGATCTTTTATCACATCCTGTGGTGTACATCTCACAATGTCAGGGGAAGACCAGACCTCAGGGAGAGGACTTCTCCTTTGAAGGAGCCAACTTCTTTCCTGACAAGAACTCCTGCCCACATCAAAGGACATACAGTAGGGTCAGGTGAAGGAAGCCTTGTGTTCTGGAGGTACGTGACCAAACCACAGGCTACTGACAGAGTCTTAGTTTTAAAAATTAAAGCAATCTGACTGCAGCTAACTTGAAATTATTTCTGAGAGGTGTGACCTATTCTGGCACCCCAGCATGGTGTTAATAACAAGACCCAGTGCATCCTTAGGAAAAGATACTTCATGTGGGACAAGAAGGGATAGAGTGCAATACCTTCTCACTCCCTCCCCTCCCCCCCC